AGAGGAAAAGCAGGGCCTACTGACGGACATCATTATGGCTATTCTGAAGCCCAGTTAAATAGAATTACTAAATAATCCGCCAAATTTCCGATCGATAGGCGACGAACATTCCACATATAAAGGCACTGGCGCGGAAAACTCGAAGTCAGTCAGGAGGAGGAAGCGAGTTATGTCTCCAGCGGAAACTCCAGACCAATCAATTCCGGTGGATAACGTGGCGGTCGACGCTAATGCATAAAAAATAAGTCAGGTTTCACTACCTGCTATAGTAACTAAACCTGCCAAATCATCGAACACTAAAGTTGGGAAAGCCAGGGTGACCCTCAGAAGATATGTTAGAAACTACAAGGACTCGCCGTCATTCTTGGAAGGTAACGTTGTTACTCCACTTCTTCACAAGGATAACTCAACTGGGAAGTGCCCTAACCATTCCGTTGACGGAAAAGAACACGATAAGCCTTCGTGCAGTAAATTGCAACAGGGTATTACTTGTACGAGCTCCACTGCCGGAGCAAGTACGTCACATGAAAATCCATGCCCTAAACTCCCTTCGCCGGCCGAAAATCATTCAAATGTCGAAGTGACAACAGCCGTCGGGAATACTACAGTAGCATTATATCGTCCTAGCGCGGACGGGACAGTAATGAGCTCTTCCATAAATCGTAAGCAAAATATTGTCATAAGGGGCGCCCCAGAGTTCACGTCCTGCATTCCGAAGGAACGAGTGACGCACGACCTAGCCCTTCTTCATCAGTACGCCAGTGCCGTCCTGAAGGATGGGGAAATATTCACCGTTAAAAAAGCCTTCCAACTAGGCAAAGCGGACCCAGATCGTGACCCAAAACATCCCCAAGACCTCTGAAAGTTATTTTGGAAAACGAAGCCCAAGCAGCGCTTCTATTAGAAAGTAGAATGAACTTAAGCAACTCGCACAAGGAAGTGTTTTTTCAACGAGACTACGAACCAAGGGAAAGACTGAAAATGAGAGAACTGAGATCAGAATTGAAGGAGAGAATCGGCAGGGGAGAGAAAGGGCTGAAGATCAAAAATGGACAAATAGTTCAGACAAAGGGCCTTTCCTGTGGTCAGAACCTGTAACAATGACGGTCAGGCCTGTCCAATGAAACAGTCATTGAAAATTATCTCCGCAAATGTGCAAATTCTCTTCAACAAACTAGACGAACTAAGAGACTTAGTTGATGAAATTAAGCCAGACATTATGGCACTCACAGAAACGTGGCTTACATAAGATATTGCAGATTTAGAAATATCACTTAGAGGATATCAGAATTCAGGAGAGACAGACTTAGTCGAGGAAGAGGAGTCACAATTTATGTCACGTGCAAGCTGACCGCTATGGCTGATGTACATAGTCAGGTACGGGATGTTGAACTGCTGAGCGTTACCATATCTGATAAGAATGTCCGATCACTGACGCTTTCGGTGGTGTACCGTTCACCTAACCATACTTCTGACAAAGATCTGCTGCTCATAACTGAACTGTACAAAGCTAGCGAGAAGAAAGATGTCCTTATCGTTGGAGTAAAATTTATCATGAACATAGTCCTGATCAAACGCTTAACTCAACCCTAGCCGTAACATAACTCTGGCAATAATTTTAACTACCTCTGCCTATGACCCACTACTTAATTTAAACTGTTATCTTCACGGTAAGTCCTGTGCTAACTCACCAGGAAATTGGCGTGAATTCACCGGTCTGAAATCACAACAACCAGAGTCATCGCCGTGAGTCAGGAACATCCCAAGAATATGTCCAGAAAAACCCAACTAATCATCGATCAGAAGTTGAGGGCCAATAGGGGACGTGTGGATGCCGGCGACCCTAGAAGATTTCTCGTGAGATCAGAACAGGCTGTTCATCCAACCGAGGGTCTTTTTCATGAATCATCTTTTAATATGTCATAAGCACGTTATCAGTGGAAAGGGTGTATCCACATGATGCGGCCACTTGCCACAGTGTCATAGGCGTAGTCTTCAGAAACAACATTTTTCCTTCCTTAAGGAGCTGTAGCTCCTTATTCTATTTTTTGGCTACCCCTTTTTTAGCTTCTTTATAAATTAAATTTGAAGAGTCACGGACTGATTCCTTGCCTTTGTCTCCCCGAGGAACGGCGGGCCAAATTAGCTTCACCAGCATATGCTGGTGTGTATTGGACTGTCTTTTTTGAAAAAAACGGCGTTTTAAATCTCAAGTGCACATGTTCCTCGGGGGCATCTCGTGGCAGTTTATGCAGGTCTTGAATCTTTGGTTTGGCGCCAGTATATATCTTCGGGATGAGCGTTGACAATAGTTAACTATTATCAACTGAATGTATTTCCAAATCGTCCCCCCGGTACGTCAACCTACTGACTAGTCGGGGAACATTAATATTAATGTTCCCCCAACTAGTCAGTCCAACGCAACTCGGTTAACGTATGTTAATTACGTACTTATAAGTGTCATAATTCGAATGAAACGCCTCCTATATAGCCGGATATTTTGCTTATATATCTATGCCTCCATATTACCCGACGTACCAATGTGCAGAAAAGTTGAACAAACCTTCTAGGGCTGGCGTATTTTTAGACAAATGCTCCGCCTCCGTCATAGTTCGCAAATGCCTCATTCCGAGGATCCTGTTTAGTTTAGTTCAATGTTTGATTTACGAATTTGAATCCCACTATGTCCCTAAATTCGCTCTTCAACAAAAACTTCAATTTGGGCCTCAATCATGAAACATGTGCAAAAATCCTGTTAGTGCGCAAAAAACGATGTCATAATTCGTTTATTTCTCCAAACTGCTTGTGGTATTTCTGTAGTTGATTTTGCATGTTGCCAGGGTTCCATATATACTGTCTGTCAGACTTGCCTCCATACCGTCTACCCCCATCTACGTCTGCCATCTTCCATGTCTTTGCTTTAAGTGTCTGTTTTGTGTTACAATCCTGCGACTCTCCGCATTAGACCGGTGACCAGCTCGGATAGGGTGAAGAAAGAGAGTGAGGTCAACCCAGGGGAATTCACCCCCACGCACCCAGCGCACATTCACCACTATAAGCAATATGAAGCGTTTTTAAATTATCAAGATGCGCTAGAAGCCGTGGCCTTGAAGGCTACCAACTGACGGGATAACTCGGCACTCGCAGGACAAAGTCAGGCAGCGATGGCCCCTTCGTAGTGTGACCCCTGTGGCACTTCCGCTCGGGTGTGTGCTGCATGCGCAAACGGTCTGTTTAGTTTTGTCAGACAAAGCGCCCGATCCCGCCTCTGGTCTTCTTGACACCGGGCTCAATTGGGTGAAGGAGGAGAGTGTGATGAATGCAGCGCAAGTCTACTATCACTACAAACTAATTCATATGCAGTTCGTCGTCTCTGCCTTCGCCATGCTGTGCAGCACACGGTGGACATCGTCATTCGTAACGGTCGGACTGTCAGTTGTCTATTTTTTTTAAATCCTTGTTGTTGGTCGGAAGTGTGGCTGGCTAAAAGGAACATTATGCAAGCCTTAAATTGCCGTCTTGCATTCGACAATTATGTCGAATCATCCATTCTGCTACTATACTGCGTGCAGACACAGGCACCGTTTTTAAAAGGCACCCAACTGCTGCACGCAGTCTGTTGATCGATCTTCATCCAGTCGTACTTATTCTTTGCCTTTGTGAATATTTCACTGACGCTCATTGCAAATTGTAATAGAGGAACTACATTAAAATATTTTGACATCATAGCCTGACCTTATTTTACTTTCTTTGTCCAAAAAGAATCGTATCTTTTTAAAACTCTCAGCGCAACCGAGTTATTTAAAGCATGACTTTTCTTTTTCGCTAAGCGCGTACTTTTTTGCGAACACCGTCAAGCACTTTCATCCCCTAGACCAACCACTAGCCCTGACTCTGAAACCTGGCGCTTTTGATCTAATTACCCTGTACTAGTCTCTTTGCTAGCTGTTACTATCTGCTAATTAGCGATCACTAGTGATACTTTGCCTGTCTGCAGTTTTTGATTGCAATTTCCCTTACTAGCTACTAACCTTTGCTTTAAATTGAAGTCTTCACACTCGATGACAACGCCACGATATGACGCTCGTGACTTACCAGTAAATGCGTTAGGCCTGGAGGAGGCATTGGTCTACGTCAACCCTTCCCGCTCATGCTCCTCGGGAAAACTTTACTTGACCTTTCAAATTTAACGCTCAGTGAGATTAATTAGCACACTTCTTCCTCGTCAGCCACGCCTTCTAACATCGAACCCTCCGAACTCAGTCTTCCAGAACAACCTTTTCCTAAGTTGCGAATATCAGAGAAGTCTTTTAACCCATGCATTTGTGAACTTTTAAAAGTAGCCACGGCATGAATTCATCGATGAAGGGAAGAAAACGACAGCCACTAGCTGTAACCGAAAACTTGAGCTTTTTTGATCGCAACATACATAGACGATTCGGTCATGTGTCACTGGAACGAAGACGAGAAAGAAATCGGCTGACCCAGGACTGGTGTGTGTTTGGATTATCGCTGCGTCCTTACATAGCTCAGTCCTCCAGTCTGCAGACGTAGTGTGTGGGTGTCGACTAAGTCGTCCGCATAAGGGTAGCACGCGAAAGACAGAGTGAGTGTCTGATCAACCACTGTGCTCTCGTTCATCTCCACCCGCCCTGACGTGGCACCGCCGTGGGAACACGATGGAAAAGGAGAATGAAGTCGGCGTTGCGCAGATCCCCGCTGTTAATGTCCCAGGTGGTGGTGTTACTTATCGGCGACGAAGAATTCATAATCACCTACCATTCTGTTCTGCTTTATCCCAACTTATTTTGCCATTCTTTCGTGCATGATTCCACCACGCAACCGCAGACGCCTTACGCAGTTTGTTTGCGTCAAATGCAACCGATTCCTTAGAGATCGTGTTATGTTTGCATTTCACTAAAACGACGCTGCGGCGAGATTTCTGCCCAATTACGTTTTGTTTTTCTTTTGTTTTCCTTGACACGTTTTTTAGTGGAAGCATGGGTTTCGATTCATTGGAGGACCGTCTCATCCGTGTTTTCGGTCAATGGGGAATGATAGAAGATGGAGTTGATTCCGATACTGGCAATGCCGATAGTCAACTGGCTTCTGAGATGTCGGACCTAAGTCATCCTCCGGTGAGTGGTTCAGGGAAGACCAAACTGCTGAAGGAGATATCCGAGCTGGCTGACGCCTTCGTGGGCATGCAGGCGATTTCTGCTAGCCATTCAGTGCGCTATCTCAACTACATCATGGTAGCACTGTTTGAACTGATCAGCCATGATGACCAAGACATCCGCGTAGCAGCGGACGAAGCCATCAACAAAATAGCAAAGGTGCGTGCACGCGACTTTCAGATCATTGATCGTCCCCGTATGTATTAATTTTGCCTCCAGTTTTTGGTCTTTGCCAGTTGTCTTAAAATGAATGCTGAAATAAGTTGAAAACAGCCCAGTGCAAAAGGCGGAGTTTGGCCTAACCGTTTATGCACCGGGACAGGCCCAGCTGGCAGTTGACACCATTCAGGACATATGGGAGGAGTAGGCATTCCATTCTGTCTCATTTCCTTTGCTGCGAAGGCCTTCGCTGTTGTCGTTGTCAGGCGTTTTCAGGACGTTCACGACTTGAGGACGAGAGTAAACCAAGCCAGGCTTCGAGCTGTGTGTACCACTTCGTGGTTATAGTGGAACGGCAATCGCACTCGGTAATTAACAGCACGCGAATGGCAAGAGCAGTCCTGCAAGACAGGCCATGCATCCTACGCATGAAATAATCGCCAAACTGGATTCAGACGACTTCAGAAAGCCCCTAAGATCGGTCCATCGTAGTCTGCGAAAGAGGGTCAAGAATGTTGATCGTCTGCCTCACGGGTGTCACCTTAGTTGCTCTCTCCATACCCCTCCGGTTAAACGCACGTCCACAGTACAAAAAATGGGTTGATACGGATATTGTGGAAACTTTGACCTGGTTGTCTCACGATTAGACTTGGCATATACTGCAGAGCTCCCAGTTTTTGGTCTTTGTTAATTGTCTTCAAAAATTAATACTGAAATAAGTTGAGAACAGCCCAGTGCAGAAGGCGGGAGTGCGGCCTAACTGTTTATGCACCGGGATAGGCCCAGCTAGCAGTTGACACCATTCAGGACATGTGGGAGGAGTAGGTATTCCATTCTGTCTCATTTCCTTTGCTGCGAAGGCCTTCGCTGTTGTCATTGTCAGGCGATTTCAGGACGTACGTGACTTGAGGACGAGAGAAAACCAAGCCAGGTTTCGAGCTGGACGTGGGTAAGTCGACCAGCCATTCATAGTGCAACACATGCCTAGATTCCGTTAGGGCTATCAGCAGCCGACGGCCGTATAATTTGCTGACTTTGCCGCAGTGTTTAATCCAGTACATAGTGAACCCTTGTGATGAATAATGGATTTAGACGTTACGCCGACGAAATAGTCGCAGGATTGGAGCCTACTCTCATGGCAGTACTGCGCGTTCCCACAACAGTATGTCCTAAGTTTGTGTCCTGCAGCCAATCCTGCTCAACTGCGCTATTTACTGGACTTTTGGAAGGCTCCTGCATCACCTTGGTGTTTGAGTTGCCCTCGCGCGCCGGTTGACCTTGACTTCGCCGATGACATCGCCCTGCTATGTATTGTCGCCGACAAATTAAGTCTCAAAATCGGTTGGTTTGTCCATAAGCGGTGAGAAAACTAGGGTGTTTTCGGACCCGCACCGCTGACCATCCCTAGAAAGCGTTTATGGATCAGGCCCGCATGTACCGTGCGAAAATGGAGTAACTTGACCCCCCGAGGGATATAAACCGGCTTAGTCTCAAACGAGACAGTCCGCATTCACTGCGAAAACATCGTGAGGCATTCTCAGACCATCCAAGAAAAACGACTGAGGTGGCTTGGACACATTCTTCGCCGTACGCCTCACGAGCTCGGTCTTTCTGCTCTAGATCCGGCAGCGTTGATCACCTGGAGGCGTCGATGAGGATACCAACTCAAAACTGGGCTGAACACAGCTCACCGAGATATGAAAGTGTTTTTTGGGATTTTTTATATTTGGTCTCTGTCGCTGAAGAAGTGGACGGGTCGAGCTCTTACAGATCCTTTGCTGCAGGTCGTCAGGTGCTGAGAGGTACAATTCGCGACATCATCGAGACCGGCTACGTCGGGCATTGTCACTAACTAAAAATGCCAGTTTCGTTTTGCCCGGAAATTCACATCTCTGTCAAATCGGTGGACAGAGCGTGAGTACACGATTTAGATTGTGGTACATCAAGTTCAAGTGCAAACTGGATCGGGGATCTGGTCTTCCCAGCCCGCGTTTGGGTTCTGGCGCTGACAACTAAACCAGAAGTGGTTACTCAAGTTACTGGGGTGAAGAACAAAGGAGAGCGGCCCTCGCACTTATTTGCCATCGGCCGCAAAGCCAAGCATCCTATAATCGAGCCATGAGATCGTATCCTATCGGCTGTCATGCTGGAGTTGCGTTAACTGCTATATCCGAACTAGAGGACGAACTCTACGCGTAGCCAAACTACTGTTTTCCTCAGTCAAGCCTATACGGTGGTCGGCATATCAACCCACCAACGCCTTCTCAGCAACTGACCATCAAAGGAAGCTTGTGTGTTTTCTTTTCAGCTTTCGGATGTCTACCTAACACAGCACGTTATCTGCGAATTTTTCATTGAAATGAAGCGAAACCGGTCCAAACGAGCACTGGCTGTCGCAATGAAAAAATTTTCGGCCTGCATACACAGAGTTAATCCAAAGAAACGGAGGTACGTTCTGTTTGCCCTTTTTGTCGTTGTCACCTGTAAGCCGTCGGACTAATTTACCGGCTGAACCACAAACTAGTGAAACTTTTGACAAAATCCCGAAATTTGCTTTGCACTGAAACAATTACTTTGGTTTTTGCATATGCAATAACTTGCGGGCTTTTGACTGGCCATTTTTGCTTGTACGCACGGCAACCAAAACTGGAAGGGATTTACTTCGCAGAACTTGTAGTGCAGCGCATTTACTCATCCTCTTATTTGCCCATTTCGAGCAGTGCCTATCCGCTTACGTTTTGTCTTCTGCAAGCATCTTCCCGGTTGTTTGTATGGTTGGTCATTTTCATGTGCCGACGAATCGGAGGGATTAAATAACCTATGCATGTATGCTTTATTTCACGCGCGGAGCCTGTCATCTGGACGTCTTCCCGACGACTGATGAGCCGCGTGGGAGGTGGAGGTGAAATTATCCGGCTTTCTGTTCCCACATGTACTCTATCATTCAACATCGGAGCAAGTGACATGAAGTGCATGCGTCGATCCGACGTCGGCATCGTATGTTATCTGTTCAGGAGGCTAAAAAGTTTAATGGTGCCCCCGGCCGCAGTGGTCGTGATATTCTTCGAAGCCTGGCTTTGGGCGCGTTCAGAGGGGCTGCGAAGTAGGTTGGCTTCCACTTGATTTACACCAGCGGACAGCTATGATCATTCACCCAGGAATCCCTGTATTTACCTCCAGCCCATGCTGGAAAGAAAAGGATGACTGGAATGACCACTTACGGTTTATTTCCCGTCAGGGGTTGAGCCACGAGTTCACGCTCTGGTTCTACCGAACTTGTGGCGGCTCATTGTCGATGATGCAAGCAAGCAAACCTACCCGAACTGTGGTAGAGAGGCGCTCACCGATCGCGTTACGGAGCTCACTCAGTGGTTAGAGGCGTTTGACGCGGGATCGAGCCGCAGGCGCTCTACACTTCGGGTTTGATAGGACTGGCTGACGGCGGCTAATGAGCCAGAAATGGCCATTCCAGTCTCCCTGGTCTTTGTCTTTAATGCCATTTTGCCTGTACTACTCGCCGCTGTGCAACTGCTAGTTGAGCTCGAGAGAGAGAGTCCTAAGGCACAACGGGACGAGTGAGTTCCGTAAGAGCGATCGGTGAGCGCCCCTCTACCATTGTATGTTCCCGATCGAAATCCACAGGACAACGACCTCTTGGCTCAGTGGTTAGAGATGTTGGACTTCTAACCAACAGGTCGCGGGATCGAGCCACAGGCGTTCCACACTTTGGGGGTTGGGTACAATTGGCCATTCCAGTCCGCCTTGTCTTTGTGGGTAATGTTATTTCACCCGAACTATTTTGGTCTTCTTTGTCGTCGTCGTCGACAAAAGTCCACCACTGATGCCTTCTCATCACAATGAGACCCTCTTTGAGGGTTCAAGGTCGAAACTCCACGCGACACCAACCCAACGTGATTCTTCATGCACTCGAGTCAGATCACTGGAGACTGAGTACCCCCAGTATCTCATCATCTAACCGAGGCCAGCAACGGCCCACCTCCTTCTGATGCCTCTGAAGATCTCTACACACTGACTACATTCAGCAACAGTTTTGAACTGGTTTTTGCGTGAAATCAGCAAGACTCTAGTGCTTCCATGCGTTTGTCTGTGATAACTTCTTAACCAGCAATGTTCCCTGTTATCCCACGTCTTTACAGAATGTACGCAATCAACCTTTTGCCAGTTTTGAGAAGCATATTCGAACGCGATGAAGAACTAGTGTGGGAAACCCTGGCATCATCGGTTCCACTCATTGCGGAATATATTTTTCCCCACGCCAGCCCACTAGAACTCAGCAGCGTAAGTTCTTCCCACCGTTCGATATTTTACTTCACAGAAACCTCCACTGAGCTATAATAAGTAGTATTTTTGACAGAACACTTTCTACTGTGAGTTCACTTGGCCCTCTTCCCTCTTAGCTTCTCCTGAAGAGTTTACTGGTAAAACTGGAATCTGGGAAGAATTACATCCGCAGAGCAGCGGCAGATATTATCGTTTCGGCGGTGATTCATTCACGTCTGCCTCGAGAGCTCTCGTATCGTCTCCTGCAACAACTGGCGGGTAAGAGGCTTACGCAGGCGGATTCTTGACTGTTGGTACATTTCCTTTGAAATGACACAGCCCGCCTGACGTACATTTCGCCTTTAACAAAGAGCACTCTTTTAATCACTATCGATATTAAATACGCAAGTGACCTTTGTATCTGGCGTTTAAGCAGCGCATTCCGCTTAATTGTACTCCTTTTTTCTGCTGCCAAATCACCCCTGGTACTAAAGTCTCTAAGGCTTATTTACGATTCATAATATCCGTTTCAAACATTCCGCACTCTTCATAGTCTTTTGTCGGGTAGGGCAGACCCCTCCTACCTTGTTTAAATGCATTGAGGTCGTGGTTCATGCGGTATGCTTTTAGTGAAGGCCTTCACCTTCGAGCGCCGCAAATTTCCGCTTTTGGGATTTTACAGTAAAATGCTACCTTGCGGAAACGGGGTTATGCATAACCTCATACACATTGGATATCCTTGGTATGCGTTCTGTGAACTCGTAAATGTCCACACTTTCATTCACGCTTGTCGTTAGCCATGGGCTAGTTTTTTTGTAAAGAACGAAAGAGCGGCCACGCGCCCTACTGGCCCCTTCATAGAAGTGCCTGTGTGTCGATCCAACTAAAGAGTGTCTGGGCGCAGTCGCGTTTGCGCGATAGTGGACGGTTAATTTGGTAATAAAGGATCTTTGCGGTGTTTGTGGTTCTTCGGAAGACACCACTCTAGAGGACCAATAAGAAGACGGGCAGACGGGCCTATCATAAGCAAGCCAGGAAGACTCATTTGAACTCCGTATCTTCAATATCCCCGTTCGTCTGATGTGCGCTCAAACAAAAAATCGAGAAGCTAGATGAGTAGACTGTTTACCCCAGTGATCGCCTTCCCTTCTCCCAGCCATGTATGTACATATCCTGCAATAAACGAAACCTCAGTCGCAGTCTCAGCAAAATCTTTCTTATTTGAAACAACTGTTTAAGTGCAGTTGCAGAATTAAGGAGCATGACGCGTGATCTCTGGTTAATGTATACGCTGTGGAAAGTTGTCTTCCGATGCAGATTTTTTCATCCGCCCGTACCCACCTGGTTCAAAACAAACGTGCTAAACAGTAAGAAAAGTACTGTAGACGGTTGGACCGACTGTTTCTGGCTCACACGCCTTCACCAGCCAGACCTGCTCCAACCCCAATTCGAGAACACCTGTGATCTGGACTTGGGTGCACTTGGTACTTAAGCATTTTATTGAGACACTCTTCTCTGTCGGCATTCCCCCAGTACCTCTTGGCACGTATTACCGAGAGTTGACAAAAAGGCCACGTTATCACGAAGTCATAGTAACCTAGCTTTGAATCCCGTGGACCGAGTCTGGTCAGCTGACAAACACCTAAAGCACGACCTTTGGTGCGACGTTATGGTCCAGAGCACACAGGACTTATTGTTAGTGTAGAAAGGTGAGCAAAATCACCTCAAGTCTTCCCCGGTTTCATAATGAACCAATTACTGTCCGCGAAAACTGGGCGTGAGATATGGGGCGGTGGCTTAGGCGAAGAGAAGGCCTCTGTGTGTGCTAGACGCACTCGCTTTCCGATTCCCCGTTTGGTTCACGAAATACTCTCACCTTTTGAAAGAGCGGAGCGCTATGTCGGTTTGATTCTTACTGTCGGGCGTCCTTTTAGTGGGTGAACATTTCCCAGAAACTTTGTTGCCTCTCCCCATAATTTCTTCCTTTGCCCTTTTCCCTTCAGCTCGAATTTTCTCGTTAAAACAACAGTTCTTTTTGAAATCCGGGCCTCCCACTGGTGGAAATTCCGCTGCCGTCGGTGCTGGAATCTCACTGTTCGAAGTTGCAACCCGTTTGCAGGGCTGTCTCTTAGCATTGAGGAATCTAGCACGTTCGCTGGCCGAGTTGCCCCCGGCCACTTCTCATCTCGCAGAAGGAACCGCCGGACGCAGCCATCTGTCGTCTACAGCTCTGGTGCGGTTAACCCCACCAGATGCCTGTGACAGAAGCGTCGAGAGTAAGATAACATATAATTGTGCTACTTGTTATTTACTAGTAGCATGAATATTTCACATTGTATATTTGTTCCCTCTCTTGACGCAGGTGGCCTCTCGAGAGACTCACAGAAGAAGGCAAACGCCCCTGCGACCGCCTTTCATCTCATTTGTCTGCCGGATTCCGTACGCTCTTTTATGGAGGACTGGTCTGAGCCGAGTCTGGAGACCTGGTGGTGGACTGTAGTGTGGATGGAATGCCTTGAACTCTCCTGTCTCCTCTACCCGGCGTCGGACGAAAAGACTGCTGTCGCGAGTGCCTCTCTCGTCTCTACTGCCGCCTTAGAGTGCCTGCTTACCATCGGTCTGCCTGCGTGCCTTGGAGATGGTGCCTCAGGGGTTCTGCCGTCCAACTTTTGTAGCGTACTGCAGGTTTTCTTCAAAAATGGCCCCTCTGCTGCTCTGCCCATCGACGATCTCGCCGCCGCCACTCCCCGTGCGTATCCCGTCAGGATATTTTGACCGCTTTTTTCCCCTGAAAGAACTATCGAAAGTTTCCGTTTTATTGTGGAGGCATTTTCTGGGGCTGGAAAAGAGAACAAATTGTTGCAAAGAAAGGGGAGGGAGGGAGGGGGGGGGAAACCGGAATGACCGTTTCCAGCTTACTTACCGTCATCCGTCGGCTACGCACCTGCACCGGCAGGCTGAACAGATCCTGGGTTTGAACTGACGCACAGTCTCACTCAGCATGCTGTTAACTTCCACAAGAATTGATGTCTACCAATTTGTAATCGAAAAGTCTTGCCCACAGTGATAAGGGAGACTGGACTGGTCATTTGTGGTTTAGTTACCGCCATTAGTTGGCCGTGGCTGGACTTAATCATGTCGGGGGAATGTGGGATACGGGGATTTTTTGGACGCATCGCCACTCTGTCATAATCTCACCCTCAGCATACGAGGTGTCGTCACGGCGTTTTGTAGTTACTGTGTCTTCTGACCGACTCTGTCGTTAATTATTGTCCACAATAGAAATCGAAATTTAAGGCAGTTAAAACTCACATATTGGACGTTAAGATCCCTGCATTTGGCGCCCTGAAAGTAAACGGAAGGTATCCACTGTTACTGTCGGAAGGTCTCCACGTCAGACAAAGGTTCTCACACCAAGTGAAGTACTGCACTTCAATCGGTAGGCGTGTGCATATTCCTCAGGCGGACCTCGATAGGTCACGTTCTCAGCTAACTGGTCTGTGTTTTAAGCACTGAATGAGCGTCTTCTTTAGCAGTAAGCCCCAATGTGGAGGCGAATGAGGTGTGCGGCCAATGAAGTCAACCATACTGCTGCCAATCCGTTCCCCTTTCCCCCAGGAGCGGGGAACATTCGCCAAATCTGTGGCACATTTGTCTGAAACTGTTTTACAACCAGCCTCTGGGCTCGCCCCACTTTCAACAGTCATAGTCCCATCCATTCTGTTTTCGTTACCTGTCCTTTCTCGAAAGTCCTCTATCGCTGTGCCTTTGTCCGGGCATTGTCTCCCCATCTGATGTACGACTAAGTCTCCTCCCTCTTTCGGTCATTTCCGAGGCCTTTTTTAACTCTGCTTCCTCGCCCCTTTTTTCAGAATCCACCGGAGGCTCTGAAACTCTGGACCCAGAGAACTTATCGATAACCGATCTGGAGGGCATTGGAACGGCGGCTGAACAACGAACCAGGGATCCCAGCAGAACGACGACGACAACGGAAGATGAGAAGGAGCACCCGAAACCGGTTGTACTGCTTCGGACGACGCTTCTAGCTAATGCCGCAGCATCGGAACCACCCACGGAGGGCGAACGACGAAATTTTAAGCGCCAACTAACACCGGCCTCTGAACTTTCGGCGCAGAACTCAGCAGGTAGTACACATCAGCCATCGTAATTCAGTTTGTTTTGTAGGCAGGCGTGCTTTGGTGGTAAACGCTAGGGTGTATTCCGAGTCGTCCGACGAGTCCAATCTTAACCCTAAATGCTAATTAGTAGTAGAACAGTTTGGGTTGCTGTTGAGCAGGAGTTGATCGCTGCCAATCGTTGCGTTCTAGACGAAATTCGGGCTGCAATGCTACGCCGAACGCTCCATTCATTTGATCCCAGTTAAGCAGTTAGAGTACCCCGAGCGCTACAATTATCAGGTCAAAGCCCCCTGTTGTAGGAAACGACACCAGAATGGCGGGGCTAACGTTGATTGTATCCAGTTATGCCTGTGAGACAGGGGTGGTAGCTGCTTTTGTAGGTTTGTGGGGCAAGTCTGGGTGGCGTCCATTTGATGTGCGTGTGTGTGTGTGTGTGTGTTGCATTTGTCATCGAGGGGCTGTATGTTCAAGTGGCACTGTGGACGCGTGTGCGTTCGAGTTTAAATCGATCGAGTGGCTGCAAGTTAGTGCGTCTGGAACCGCTCTCTGCGAAAGTGGATGACCTTAAGGCAACGGGGCCTTGAATCGGGACGCCAAACAGCCACCATGAATGACGGCAGCACCACTCTGGAATCCTGGGGGCCACAGTTGTAAGCAAGTCGGCATATTTCGATCATTTGATGGACGGGGTCGGACAGGTTCGCGTGTTGAAACAAGTTTGATCCGAGGGGTGAGGTTGGATGTGCAGAACTAGACATGGAGATGTCCAACTGGAGCCCTCCCAACCCAGAACGAGTGTTCCCAGTCCGGACACATGTTTAGCGATTAGCCAACGTTTGCGCTGTGCCGTGGCGTATTGTTCATGTTGTTGTTGATGATGATGATGCTTGTGGTTGTGGTGATGGTGGTGGTGGTGCTGTTGCTGCTTCGACCAACACGCAGTTGACCGTGTGAGCCCCGAATGAGGTTTGACAGTGACCAGTCATTGGTTTTCCACTTTTGCTCACTTTACGACTTTTCTCCGCCTTCTATATTACGTTGGCCTCAGAGATTGTTGTGTCAGTCTTTGCGACATTTAGTTCTACCTGCCCATCCTGTGCCAGGATCCCTGTGATGTCTGGTCGACCTCGACACATTCTAGTGTGATTTTGAAGATGCCCTGGAAGCGTTTCTCCGGTCCCTCATCCGCCTTGTTGGCAAGAACCTGTGGCAGTCGTTGCGACTGATGCTGTGCTCACCAAGACAATATAATTGACAGTTGCGAGTCCAAGTGTGGACCCGAGTTTCACGGCTGCTGTGACAAACGTTTCATCCACTCGGTGTCACAGAGGTAGACCGACGGACGTTGTCTGTTCGTTGTTGGGTTGGTTTCTGTGAAATAGAGTAGCTTCGTGGGTTTGAGGACTGTGAGCTGTGATTGCTCGGATTGGTCCGAGAGGCGGTTTTAGTTGCGTGACGATGGACGCAGACATGTCCAGCCAGGCTACGCTGTGAGTTAACCATCAAGACTCGCCGGAAGTGTGGGCCACCTATTTTTCACGTGTGCTCGCCTACCTAGGTGTCTGGACATGTTCAAACTTGCTGCCCTCCCAGCACTGCAAAAGAGCCGTTCAAAAGGCAACCAGCATCATGCACTGGATTAGGCGTGCCTTCAAAATCTTTCCTCCAGAACTCTTCTCACAGATATTCGGCACATTCGTCAGACCGCATTTGGAATACGGCATGTCATCATGGATGCCCTGGATGAAGAAAGAGTGATGCCATAGAGCAGGTGCAACGATGGGCCACAAAACTGGTGGACGGTCTCAGGACTCTGTCATACCCAGAAAGACTGATCTAGCTAAACTTGTTCCCCCTATCCTGTAGACGAATGAAGTGTGACCTGTTATGGACATTCCGCATTATCAATGGGCATGAATGCTCGCTCAAATCCGAAGATTTCTTTGAATTCACGACCATGAGTCAGCTGCGCAGTCATCCGTACAAAGTCAAGCGGGAGCGTACACGTTTAGACCATCGGAAGTTTTCCTTCAGCCAGCGTGTTTTTCGACCGTGGAACTCACTCCCAAGTGAAATAGTGATATCTGATGCGATGGCTGTATTCAAAAGGCAGCTGAATCGTTTGATCTTTGATAAACGGCGACTCTCATTGCAGGACTATCTGCGGCCAGCCATAAATTTCAATTCTTGTTTTCATCCCTATGCTACACATCCCTGACGTTTAATGAGATTTTCCCTATCAAACTACGCAAATGACTGCACTTTGTCCTGATTGTATGTAATTGCACTTAAAATTTCATATGTACATTGATAAGACCGCCTGCCGCTCACTTCGCAGTCCCGCACTGTAAAAAAGTTTTCCGTAAACAAATATGTTACTGGCGACATTTTAGTAAGATGCGCATTTAACATGCATATTGTATGTACCGTTTTCAATGGGGTCATCGAGGGCATTGCCCTATTACCCTAAAATACACACTATCTATCCATGTCGGCTGACCATTCGACGGCAGATTCTGTGTGTAGGAGTGAGAGAGAGGACGTCCCAGGATTCTTGTTTGATTCCGATTAATTTGACAGCTGCTCTCAAGGTGTCTTTGTGTGGCCTTCTTGCTGTCCTCGTCGGTGGGAGCATGTAGCAACGTCACCATAAAAGAGCGGCTTTGGCAGACCTTCATTAGCACTGTTTGGGGGTACGGTGGATGGGAAGCTATCTTACACTTGAGCTGGATTCCAATCATCTGCACAGCATTTGTCCCGCACACATTACATCCTCATGCCATGACAACTGAAATACTAGTGAACGTGCTCGGTGATCTAGCACGAAGCCCCCGTCTACGCATGCCAAAGACTTGTTGGTTTTCCGACTTCACGAGAGGTTGGCTTAAGTCACCCTGGTATTCCTGATCGAAAAACCGATGGGGCAGCGGGCTCGTGGCCCAGTGATTAGAGGCCTGGACTTCTAAATAACTAGGTCGTGAGTTCGAGCCTCGGGTGTGCCACACTTCGGGGTGGAGTATGTCTGACTGACGACCGTTAATAAGCCAGAATTGGCCATTCCAGTCTCCCATATCTTTGTCGGTAATGCCATTCTGCCTATATCATGCGCCGCTGTGCGGCTGCTGGTTGGGCACAACGGAACGAGTGTTACCCTGCTCTTCCATTGGTAGATTTTGTCATAAAGATTACATTAAGAAATTACTAGGATCATCATGGCCTTCATCTGTAACCCTCAGAGGTAGTCATTGAGGCTGAACTATGTGGGCTAAATTATGCCGTCAATTCCAATTAACTCATCGAACTAGTTTAGAAGACCATCCGTTTTATTCTCGTGCACAAAGTCACCTCGGGATCGGCCTGTTACTTGGCGTTGCAAAAAAATTAAGAATAAAAGCGTTTTCTGCGAAAACATGGAATCAAATAAAATTTCCAGTTGAGTAGACGTTGTGCCTCATATTCGAATGCACAAAGGTACCTGACGTTGTTAAATCTTTGATTAACTAGGTGGTTTTCGTCTAACCTACCGGTGATGGGAGGAACGATGTGCGGTGGGGAATAAATGTTTCGGCATTAAATCTCGGATTTGCTCATCTAAGTCTTGGTTTTCATCCTTGTTAACTTCCATGCCTTTCCGCATTTAGAGCTGCGCTTGTCAATCAATATCCACTTATTGTGCCTCCGATCCATTGATTAACTTTATAAGTTGAAACCTGGCGTTGGCGGAATTTAGGCACTATCTGTTGCCCTGAACAAGGTTGAGTACAGGAGACCTTCCTCTTGTGAGTGGCGTCCCCTAACTCACGGTGGCAGATGATGATTTGCATGTATTTTGTCAAAATCATCAGGCCGTTGTCCGACGTGGCATCTTGTGATCCTTTTGTGCCTTAACGAAGCGATGGCACTGTATTTAACCAGAGGCGGGAGGGGGGGCGTCGGTTCTATAAACACGATCGGTAGGAGGTCTTCTTGTACGGTACGGATAGTCTCCCTACTCTTTCTCATCTCCTCAATAGGCGCTGGCCTGGAAGGCGAAACCGAGGAGGATCATGAATTCTATCCTGAAAATTCTGACGCGCCAGCCGGAAACTCTCAGTCAACACCGTTTCTGCGACTCGACATTTTTGAAGAAATACTCTCCGGCAAACTGTTTCCGCCTGCCAAGTGGATCTTACCTCTCTTTGCTCTCCGCTTCGATCTCCTTCCTGCTGAGTTCCGCGCGTTGAACAACATTCAGGCAGCACCCCCGTCAAGAACATCCTCCCAGATGTTAGCGGTTGCCTATTTGGGTCAGCTTTCCAAAGCATCTTCAAAGGAGTTTCTCGAGACTATGCACCTCGGTCTCTTTGTTGGAACGCCGTTTTCCGAACCATCTCGTTTCTCCCCAATAACTGGTGGTATGTTGAATAAATAACTGCTACTTCTAAAATGTTAGTAGTATATACATGTTAAATATACCATAGTTCTTCCACCCCCAGCTGACTTGGCGCTGCACCTCATGCGTCATACTGACCCACAGGTGCGTGGGAATGCGTGCATCCTGGCTGCAAATTTGTTGCTAGCAGCCGCACTACGACCCCTTGCCTATGAAGACACCACCGAAGAGGCGACCCTGGCGGAAAAAGAAATTGGCCAACTTGATGCCCTGCTGGGCTGCATTACGGATTTGTTAGAAAAGGAAGTAAGTGTGTTGTGACGTTCTTTATTCAGGCGCGCTTGTTATATGATATGTCTGTTACAGTTCTCTTAAAGTGTTTAGAAGGGTAACGGTGAGCTTCCAGTTATTTCAATCGGCCTCGCCCCAAGCATTGCCAAAATGTTTAGGATAGGCGAGAAGATTACTCTCTCTGACTGTCCCCGTTCCATCCCCTAATGCAACATCTCTAGGCAGAACAGGAGCTATATAGGGGAAACAACCTGTCAGCTACTAGTGACTTATCACTAGCAAAGTTGTTTCGTGGTTTTGAGTGCACGTTTGACTAGACTTTGGTTGGCGGTAGACAAATGACGACACTGGATTCTTATGGGTGCTGCAACTCCCAACCAGTTCATTTCCGTGCTTCTTAAGTTAACGTTTCAGGACTTGCTTGGCTGTAGGGGCGGGTGACTCATAGAATGTGGCCGTCCGTGGTAAAACAGTGGCTTGTCATGACCTCGATCCGATGCTGCCATATGGCTGTCGTGGACAGGGTCCCCCGTGTTGGAGAGGATATGGGCGCTGTTCGTGAAGGGATTGTCCTTCGCATTTGCCTATTCCAACCTCTCATTTTTACTGAGATGTATTCACGGGACCTCCTCAGTCTCTGAAGGGGTCCTGTGGTGGCCCCACACTTCGTGCGTCCCCGTTTGGGCGATCGTCCTCAGAGCCTAGGCCGTCAGCTTTCACGACGACTAGGGTGCGCACTTGGTTTTCATAGTGTTCAACTGCCCAAGGTCACGCAGTCATAATATTCGCTACTTCGGCAATGTCAGTTACCTGTCCGTCATAGTTTGCGCCAGATCCAACAAACGACCTCATGTGACTGCGGACCCTTTTGTGAATTGTCCTCGGGATATCAGTAGGCCCTCTTGCTTTGTCTTGGATAAACTAGCAGTCAGAAATCCAGAGGAACCCACCTTCACAACAAAAAGAGGCCGAAGTTCTTTGTGCAGGTTAGGACCCTTCACAGGGCCTAAATGGCTTATTTTTAACGTCAACAGCCCAGACTAGATCTTTAGTGGGTGGAACGCTAGTTTTTAGTCCTAAACCGACGGTTTGTGCCTTGTAGTCGACGGCCGTAACTACAGTACGTAGGGAGCGACAGTGACTTGGGCGGGTGTGTGCGCGTGCGTTGCATTGCAGTTATGGGAACTTGCACAGCACCAACTTCACTTCCCCACCTTGTTCCATTGACCAGACCCGCTTAAGACGGTTGGAAGTAGTGTTTTTCGGTGTCTGACCAAGTACTCGCCCCCCCCCCTTGCTCGCGAAGAAGACGTACTGGTCCAGGGAACTGGTCCGTTCCATCACTCGGCAGCCCTCCGAGCCGGCGCGTTATGTTGAGTATGGTGGTAGACGTATGCGCAGGGCAGATCCCCTCACACTCACCGTGCACCAATGACAAGTCTGAGCTGGACCGACCGGCACAGTGTTCGCGCACGCTGGCTTGCCTGATAAAAGCGCCACCCACGTCCCACTTGCTGCCACCAATTCTAGCCTCTCCGATTGCACCACATGAACAACGGGGCAGCAAAGGCGGGGGGAGGGGGGAGGAGGCGGTGCGTCGATTGCCGGCTGTAGTAAACAGCTTGGGGGGAGTGCTGCCAGCAAAAATAAGGACGCCGGAATGATCATTTTGGACCTGATGCCAGTAGATGGCAAACCAACACTGACGACCTTGAGCTCTGAAATCGAGTTAGTTGATTATCGGGAAGGGCTCTGAGCTGGAGACCACCATCGTGTGTCACCTGGCGTGACAGCATGCTAAACTGATGCATGAGGCGGGACCTTCAAAAGCTCATGCTTTCTTCATTCGAAACCTGCCTCTTCTTCCTTCTTGCCCGTGTTCCCGTTATTTTCAGAAATCAGGCATCACCTACAGGATGGGGCTGACGGCTCTGCGCATCTGTGCCAATCCTCTGCTTTGCAGTCCTGCCATGATACGACTGACTACGCGTCTGCTCACAGCTCTTCCAGGTCTGCTGGTGACCTCTGCACGTCACTCCTACCGTCTTGTCAGGCGTGAAATTCTCCTCTTCATTGAATCTCTTGACTGGGTTC